CATCACTTTCTGGGTTGCACTTGACCACTGACACAATTAAATGCCCTCAGCAGAAGTCCTACAGCCAGGGCCAGGCAACTGGGTTACAGGCAACAAACAACAAGGCCATCAGAAGGGGGAGTAGAAGTTGCAGAGCCGTGGCTGTGACACTGTTATTGGAGGTAAGGATAAAAGACACGCATGTTCCTAAGAAAAGCCAGAGTTAATGAGCGGAGAGACAGCTGAGATGTCCCACATCCCTCGGCTCTGGATCATTTCATCCCAACCACACAAAGAATTCGAGTGGCTGGTTCTCCTGCAGTCAATCCAAGCAACGTGCCATCTGGGCACGCGGTCCCGGCGCAGGGGGAAGCGAAAACAAACACTGACCGAGCTACTAAGTGCTCTTTCCACACTTGTGAACAGACACTTGTGTTTGCACTTCCCTGTGCAAACAGAGCAAAAGCCACAAATCCTCTGAGCTGAGTTTACACCAGCAGCCTCCCAGAAACCAGCAGCACAGAAACCCTTCGCCCGAGGTGCAAACAGGGGTGTCCAAGAGGCACAAACAACCCCGCGTGGGTTGGCAACGCCCGGAGTGGACGCCCCAGCCCAAAGGGGGGGTCCCAACATGCTCTCCCCAGTGCCCCAACCTTACCAGGGATGAGCTGGCAGCGGCGGCACAGGAAGGTCTGGCAGGCTGAGTGGTCCCTGTAGACGACGTTGAGCCCGATGCTGTGGCTCTCGAGCCAGTGCACGGTGGCACCGCCGTGGGCGCTCACCTCCAGCGCCCGCACCCGCAGCGCTGCCCGCAGCTCCAGCTGCACCCGCCCGTGCAGCAGCTCCCCGCTCCCGTGGGCTGGGCCGTCCTCCAGCTTCACCACCAAGCTCTGCAGGCGGCCAGGGAGCTGCATCGCTGCAGGCCCCGCTCTCCCAGCAGCTCCAGCCTTCCAGGGGAAAGGAGGGCGAGCAAAGGAGGGCTGCACCGAAATCCTGTGATTTATCCTAAGTGGTCCCACCCTGTAGGCCTTCCCTGGGGGGTTGGGCTGAGCCCCCTGTTTGGCAGGGATGCTTTGGGGTTGACCTGGTGTGCGTGGGGCTGGTGCCGGGGCTGTGGAGCCGAGGGACGTGTTTTTAAAGGGATGGAGGGACAACGTAACTTCAGCCTTATCTCCGAGTCACAGGCGCTGCCGACGTGACACCGGGACGTGCCGGTGGCTCCGTCGGCAGCAGGGAGGGGTGTCACACACCACCAGCCCCTCTGGGAGATTTCACATGGCTGGGCAGTCGGAGAAAGCCTGTTTGGCCTTCCTAAGGCACTGCAGGAAACGGTGGGAGAAGGGTTCAGAAAGCGAAGACCCTCCCCCCAAAAAGCCAAGTTTTACTTTCCACGTCTGAAGTTGCCTCAGAGTCCACATGAAAAAGTGAATAACTACAGTGATTCCCAGCAACAGCTCACCCAGGGGGTGATCCCAACATTTATCCCCAGGGAACCATGCCTGTTCCCGCAGCAGCACAGGTGGCAATGGCACCTCAGGGTCACATCAAAATCATGGGGCAGAGCTGTAGCAGATGCAAGTCCCTGTTACTCCACCAAATGGGGCACCTGAGGTGTTTGAATCCAGGTGTTTGCAGGGACTGAGGAGAGGTGCCTGTGTGCATTTGCAAGATGTGAGTGTGCAGCTTCTTTGAAGTATACCTGGAGCAAAGACTCCACTCCCCCATTCCCGAGAGACAAGGAATCAGATCCCCAGAGGAAAGCACAGGGGAGTAAAGACTGTCCCATTCCTGGGAGACAAAGGGTCAGATGCCCAGAGGAAAGCACGAGGGCACTGCTCACACACAGACTGCAGCAGTTGGGAATGAAGCCCAAAGGTTTCGGGGTTGGCTCACAGGGAATCAAACCCATCTGAGAAAAGCTTGTGAAGTGCCAAGGCAGCAGCTGGCCCTGCTCCCTCAGCTCCCCCAAGGGCTGAGCAGCCCCCACTGACCCCTCTGGAACACACCTAGACCCCAAGCAGAGTTAGTGCAAGCTCAGCAGTCGGGAAACCCACGTGAGTGACCAACTCAACAAAAACACCCAGCTCGCCTCTAGGAAAACAGCCCACGCTCATCACAAGCCGGGCAGAGCTGCCCAGGTGCCCTCATGTTCACTGACCTTTGGTTCCAGGCCCTTGACACCAAAATCCAAACAGATTCCAGCCCCCACACAGCCCTGACAGTGCTTCTCACTCTGTTTCTGGTATTTTGCCCTTCCTCTGTGCTTCCCCCAGCCCACCTGCTCCCCCCACCCCTGTGCCTGCCCAGAGTCCTCCGTGGGCCCTGCAATCCAGAGGGATGTGTCACCCACTGGGTCCTGCAATCCAGAGGGATGTGTCACCCACGGCTTTGGGCTAATCTCCCCAGTGTTTATTCTCGCTGTCACAACACCTCCTTGTGTCCTCATTCAATCCGAGAAATAGATGTTCCTGTGACGACACACAGAGGGGGCCAAGAGCGGAGCGCAGGGAAGGCTCGGAGATCCCACGCCGTGTGGGCAGCTCACAGGGCCTGGTTGATGGAGAAGGGAGAGCATCACCTTCCTCTGGGGACAGGGCCTTTCCAGAGTCACCATGGGGACGCACAGCTCACTTGGGAGTTTGCCTTTCGGATTTCAGCTGGGCCTCTGGGCTTGGGTGTGAACTCACCCCTCTGCCCTCCTGGGCAGCCCCAGGTGGGAGCTTTTCATCTGAGGAGAGAAAACAGCTCTCAGCACATTGGGATGGGGCTGAGAAAGGGGCAGGTGGCCCCACAGAACCGGGTAACCCCAACATCTAAGCCCCGTGGTGCTACATGAAGGGTCACCTCGGCTGGGCAGCTGCAGCACCCTCTGTCTCAGATGCTCAGTGGTGCAGAGATGTTTGCCGTGGGTGGACACCTCCAGCCGGGCCAATTTTCCTCCTCTGACCCTCTGTGGGAGAGTACAGCCCCCTTCTACTTCTCTCCAACATTCCTTGGCTTAAGGGTTTGATAGCCTGTCCTTCCTTTCCCTTCAAGATATTCCTTATCTACGACTCTGCTCCCACAGGACATTCACCTGAGGCTGGAGCAGGCAGGGTTTGCTGCACACCATCCCATCCCCAAAATGATGATGTCAAGGGGAGGCTGCAGCTTTGCTGGGTATAAACCCAATTCTCCAAGCCACCTCGTGGTTAATCCAAGCCTGTTAAGGTTGGATCTGCTGGGGAGTCGCTGGAACTGCTGCCTGTGTGGGACCAGCGTGGCTTGTGTGGTTGTGACAGACCTTTCATCTGCTGACAGGGGGAATTGAAATAAAAATCAGTTAAAAAAAAAAAAGGGAGGCAGCACCAGAGAAGCTTTGCAGGCACAGATCCATGTGTGAGGAGAGGAAAAGGCTGGCTCTGCCGTCAGCAGTTTGCTCAAAACCTTCGCCCAGACAGAAAACAACTCTCAGGGTGAGGAGGCAAATGAAGAAACTCTCATGGCAGTTACGGGAATATCGCTCCATATGGCAGTTATGGAGCTGCTCCAGAAGTCTGGGGCCAAGGAAAAGATCAATTCAACTGTGATCTGTTCCACATTTTGTAAATCAAATGGCTTAAAAGATCCAAGGCATGAAGGGACCTCTCTCTTACTGGCCACGAGAAACAGGAGGCAACGTCAGAGGAGGATTTTCTTAATGCCTTCCACGATCAGCTCTAACCACATCCCTTCCTGAGGTTGCATAAGTGCAGCTTTTGATCAAAATCCTCTCCTTCCTCCCAAAAATAAACACGAAACAACTTCTAAAAACAAATGTGGCAAGGAAGAAAAATCAAGCCACCGGTTCACATCTCAGAAATCACTCACATCATCTGAACATGCCAAGTGGTGCTGCCTGGTGGCAAAGAAGTGGCTGTTGAGATGTCATTTGTGGGGGTGGAAGTGCCAGTCTGTACCTGTGGCCTCTGTGCCACAGCTTTAGCCTTCCAGTGGGAAGAACTCTTGATTTTGAGGTGGATAATCTGGTGCAGCCACTGCCTGCCTAGAGCTGTTCATGTGGCAGATCTGGGAGGCAGCACATTCCTTGTCACACACTCTCCAAGATACCAAATATGAGCTTTGTTTGATAAATCACATTGCTCATCAGAAAGGGCAGTTCCTGGGATCAGGTTCTCCTGCTGATACCGGTGTGTCCTCTCATCCAGGGCACTGTTTCTGCTTCTGATCTCCCTAAATTTAACACGAGACATGCTGGAGGGAAGCCAACAAAGCTACAGAACAGCCACTTAAAGCATAATCAGTTTATTTCCCCTCTGTTTTTCCACCCTCTTAGTTTTCACTTGCACAGATCCCACCCCTTTCAGGACAGAATTCGACAGGGGAACATGCTGCCCTTTAACTGTGTCCTGGTGCTCCCTAAAATCCTGTTACCCGTTCTCTTGGCTTTGCAGGTGGATTCCATCCACCCTCAGCCTGTGCTCGGTGAGGAGGGTGGGAACAGGACTGTCCACCCCTTTAACAGTGGGAACACACCCTGCCAACAGCCAGGCGGGGGGAGGAAAGGGGTTATTCCTAAAAATGCTCCCTGTGATTCTTAGATCCACACACAAAGATGCAAGGAGGGTCCGTGGAGAAGTGTATGGGTACCACTGATGTTCTCTTTAGTGTTTATTACTGAAATATCTAAGGAAACGACAGTATCACAGGCTGGAAGGGACCAGAGTGCTTCGCCTGGTCCCACCTCCCTGCTCAGGCAGGACCACTCCAGAGCACGGGATGTGTCCTGAGGGGTCTGGAACATCTCGAGTACGGGAGGGAACACCGCAGAGCGGGGGAACTGGGGGTCAGCAAAGGGCTGACGGGGGTTTCGCGGACCACAGTGGGGAAGGAGATGCCGTGAAATGGGGTAGGCCCTGAGGGGGGGAAGGCCCCGGGGGCGGCGGGACTCGGGCAGGCCGGGCCAGGCCGCGTTGCCATGGCGACGGCTGCCCCGCCTCCTTCCCGGCGTGCAGCCGGGACGGCCGTGACGTCAGAACCCGGAAGCGTTGCCATGGCGGCCGCCGCGCTCCGCGGCCTGGGGGCAGCGCTGGAGACACACCGGGGACGGGACCGGGCCGTGAGTGACGGAGGGGGGTCTGACCCACGGGGAAGGGGCCGGGAGTGAGGGATGGGAGGTGTGACCCACCAGAACGGGGCCGGGAGTGACGGGCCCGACCGTGCGATCACCCGCCCTTGAAGGAAAGTGAAGAACTTCAGGTGCGTTAAAGGCTCGATGGTGGAAAAGAATCATAAAAATCCGGAGGGTCCGCAAACAGTCCGAGAAGTTGGCGTGGGTATCGGTGTATCGGTGCCCTGGGGGGCGGGGGGGTTTGGGGAAAGAGGTGGAGGGAAAGGGACGGGAGGAATTCAGGAGGGAGAGGGGGAATTGAGGAAAGAAAGGGAGAAAGGATGGGAAAGAGGAAAAGAGAGAAAATTTTTTTTAAAAAGGAGAGAATTAAAGAAAGAGAAAAGAGAGGATTAAGGAGAAAAGAGAGAAAAGGAATTAAAGGAAGAGAGGAGAAAAGAGAATTAAAGGAAGAAAGAGAGAGAGAAAGGAAGATAAAGAGAGAAAAAGAGAGAGGAGAAAAGGAGAGAATTAAAGAGAGGATAT